GATAGATAGATAGATAGATAGATAGATAGATAGATAGATAGATAGATAGATAGATAGGCAGATAGATAAAATCTAGTTTAATTTAAAAAATAAGTTTTCACACTTCCTGCTGTTACCTGTGTGGACTGTGGATGGCGGCAGGCAGGCTTCCAGGCACTCCCCTCCCTTCTTCCCTCCCTCCCTGTCCCTCCGTCGCGGGGGACTCCCTACCTGGCCTTGTTGTGAGTGCGGCTGGCTGAGGAGAAGGACACCCGCGGTTCGCGCTTTGCTTCACCCTGAAACAGACTCAGCTCACCTGCTCCATGGTGGATTTGGCCTTCACCCCTTATGGCTACTTTCTGATCAGCACTTGCAAAGATGGCAAACTAATGCTCCGCCAGGGAGATACAGGAGAGTGTATTGGAGCATTTGGGGGTCATAAAGGTGCTGTTTGGGGTGCAACATTGAATAAAGATGCCGCCAAAGCTGCCACAGCAGCTGCAGATTTCACGGCCAAAGTGTGGGATGCTGTCACAGGAGATGAACTGATGACCCTGGCTCATAAGCATATTGTCAGGACTGTGGATTTCACACCGGAGAGCAACTACCTGTTAACTGGGGGACAGGATAAACGGCTGTGCATATATGACTTGAACAAACCTGAGGCAGAACCTAAGGAAATTAGTGATCACACTTCCGGTAGTAAAAAGGCTCTGTGGTACAGTGAGGACCAACAGATTCTTTCAGCTGATGATAAAACTGCTCGTCTTTGGGATCATGCTGCAATGATTGAAGAGAAATCTGTGAATTTTAATATGTCTGTTATCAGCATGGAATATATCCCTGAGGGAGAGAGAGGTCCTAGTGCTCACTTACAGGTGGACTATTGCTTTTCATAGTACAGTAAGTCTGGAGCCAATTAAATCCTTTGAAGCTCCTGCAACCATCAGTTCTGCGTTTCTTCATCCTCAGAAGAAATTTCTTGCTGCAGGTGGAGAAGACATTAAACTGTATGACTATAATACTGGAGAAGCACTAGAATCCTACAAAGGTCACTTGGGTCCCATTCACTGTGTGAGGTTTAGTCCTGATGGTGAACTCTATGCCAGTGGTTCTGAAGATGGGACATTGAGATTGTGACAGACTGTGGTAGGAAAACCCTATGGCCTTTGGAAATGCTTCCTGAGGAGGACAGTGGGGAACTGGCAAAGCCAAAGGTCGGTTTTCAGGAAACAGCTGAAGAGGAGCTGGAAGAAATTGCTTCAGAGAATTCAGATTCCATCTGTTCTTCAACTCCTGAAGCTGTGTGCCATAGGTGCCGTATACGTACTAAAGAAGCAGAGAAAAGTACCAGCCTTCAGACTGACTCTCTGCCTGTGGCAAGGAAGGCAGAAAATATTGGGGAATATGAATTAGCTCAGTGCACGAACAGCGACTCGGTGCTCTGTGAGTGAAAGCAGCTGCGTGTATGAGGTGCAGGCAGGAGGGTTATGTTCATGTAGTGCCGCAGCCTGCTCTCTCGAGTGAGCAAGCCAACGTACAGTTTACATTTTACACTTACATTTTTGTAGCTGTTTATGTTATGGAAAATAAACATATATTGGCCTATTTTTGAGACTTTTCCCTTAAAGCAGAATGCCTTTTTTCTCTTAGTTGGGAAGAAGAGGAATTACACGATCAAATAACTGGTTTAGTCTCTTTCATTGTACACTGACTGCTTCTGAACATCGAATATTTTTTAGTTATCTAAATAAAATGCCTCTAAAGCAAAAAAAAGTTTTCATAGGCCCTCTGCATATATGCTACAGTTGTGTAACTTGGTCTTTGTGTGAGATTTTTAACAGTGAGAGCAGGGACTGTCTCTGACTCTATTAACCTATTTTGGGGACCTGTTCTTCCTACTGGATTGCCTTATTCAGACTTAATAGAAAAGGAGATGCCTAGTCTACTGCAACTTTATATAACATATATAATATGGCTGATATAAATGGGAGGCCTGCCTATATCTGAAGAGCAATAGTGGAGGAGGAGTGGATGGAGGAAAAAAGGAACAAGGAAGAGGAGAGGGAAAGGAAACTTCGGTTTGAATGTAAAAACAGAAAATAAATAATTTAAATTTAAAAAATAAAATTCATAAATGTGCATGCATAGAACAACTACCTAACTTACTTCTTTTTTTTTTTCTTACTCCTCAGTTAAGTCCCTACTATGGGGCAGGGATTTGGGTAGGGCTTGAGTTAAAAGTAATAAAGGACACAGCTGCTGGGTGTTACCGTGAGCAAAGGACAGCTTCAGTAATAAAACTCATATGTGTTGCTCTACTGCCATCTTGTGATCATTTTTTCCCTGATCAGCCTCAAGCACCTCTATTCTAATATTCACATGTTTTGTTTAAGCACTGCTGGAAAGAAAGAAATAAAAATTGCTCTGCTGACTAATAATGACGTGTAAGAGCTGCTATTGAGATGGTTAACAGAGTCAGGGGACCAAAGTAGGGCTTAGCTTGGTCTTGGCTGGGAGAACCACCAGGGAATACCTTTACCTTTCAGTGCAGGAAGGGGAAGGCTGTAGCAAACCTAGGAGAATGAGAATTTTCAAGCAGAAGAAAATTTCCAGGTCATATGTTGCAATATAAGGTGAAACAGAACGATTGTACATGGGAGAATCTTGATTTAGAAAACAACAACAACAGAAAGAAAGAACTTGAGTGTTTTAATAACTTTTAGTTGAAAGGTGATAACGGTGTTGAGGAAATGCTGATGAGGACTAAAGACATGTTACTATAAGGGCTTGACTAGGAGAACTAGAGAGTGGAGTTACTAAAAGAAACCAGCACAGCTGGGGAGAAGTGCAAGCTTGAGCAGCATAACTTACTTCTGGAGACTGAGAAAAGAAATGGGGAGAGGAGGAGGAGAGAGGGAGGAAGAGAGGAGAAAAGTGGAGTGGAGAAGGGAGGAAAGGGAAGGGTAAGGAAGGGAAGAGGGGGAAGGAAAAAAGGAAGGGAACAAAGGGGAGGGAGCAGGGGCATAAACATCAGTGTTTGGGAAGATGACATTATTATTAATAATAATAAGTCAGATATAGCAGCACATACCTTTAATTCCAACACTCAAGAGGCAGGTGGATCTCTAAGTTCAAAGCCAGCATGGTCTACATAGTGAGTTCTCAATACTCAATTTTTTAAAAGGGGCAGGGGGTGCTGGAGAGAAGAAATAATAATAACAATAAGTAAATCTTTAAAATTTAACCTGGTCGCCGGGCAGTGATGGCACATGCCTTCATTTCCAGCACTTGTGAGGCAGAAGCAGGCGGATCTCTGTAAATTTGAGGCCAGCCTGATCTACAAGAGCTAGTTCCAGGACAGGCTCCAAAGCTACAGAGAAACCCTGTCTTGAAAAAACAAAAAGAAAAAAGAAAAAAGAAAAAAGAGAAAGGGAGAAAGAAAGAAAGAGAGAGAGAGAGAGAGAGAGAGAGAGAGAGAGAGAGAGAGAGAAAGAAAGAAAGAAAGAAAGAAAGAAAGAAAGAAAGAAAGAAAGAAAGAAAGCAAAGAAAGGAAGAAAGCAAAGCAAAGAAAGGAAGAAAGCAAAGCAAAGAAAAGAAAAGAAAATGAACCTGGTCAAAAGGCAGAATAAAGTTCATTTCTGTCTCATAGGATTTAGTACTTAAAAGTTTATTCACTTAGAGGAAAATTGACAATGAAATCTAGATATATAATTTCCCTGTCTTTGATGGAATTAGTTAACAATGTGTCTTAGGCTTTTTTATTCCTATGAAGAGATAAACTCTTACAAAGATCATGATCATGGTGACTCTTACAAAGAAAACAATTAATTGAGGTGGCAGATTACAGTTTCAGAAGTTCAATCCATTATCATCATGACAGGGACCATAGCAGTACCCAGGCAGATGTGCTGCCTACATCTTGACCAGAAGCAGCAGGAAGACAACTGACTGTCACACTGAGTAAAGCTTGAGAAAAAACACCATGCCCACCTCCACAGTGACACACTTCCTCCAACAAGACCACACCTACTCAAACAAGGCTATATCTCCTAATAGTGTCACTTCCTTTGGGAGTCATTTTCTTTCAAACTACTACATTCCACTCCCTGGCCCCCAAAGGCTTGTAGCTGTATCATAATGCAAAAATGCATTCAGTCCAAAATAATAATCTCAACTTGTTTCAAAGTCCATAATATCTTCTGAAATGTATGACAATCTCATAATCCCCCTGTAAAAAAACAAAATCAAAACAAACAGATCTCATACTTCCAATATATCATGATACAGGATATGCATTGTCCTTCCAAAATGTAGGGAAGGAGCAAAGTGAGGAAATACCGGACCAAAGCAAAACCAAATCCCAGCTGGGCACACTCCAATCTTTGTGTCTCCATGACTAATGTCAAAATGTTCTTTAGATCTCCAACTCCAATGAGGTATGACTGCAAAATACTTCATTCTCTTGGGCTGGTTCTACTCCCTGTTAGAAGCTCTCCTCAGCAGGTGTTCCATGACTGTAGCATCTCTAAAATCTTGGATTCTTCAAGGCAGTTCAGGCTTCAACTTCACAGCTTCATGCATGGCCTCGCTATTAGGCCTCCATTCAGGGACACCCCTGAAATATGGTTGGCCTCAGGAGCTTTCTTTAAGTGTGGAGAAAAATTCAACAACGCATTTCTTCTTTTCTTTAACTCCAAAGTCAGAACCATGTTGTTGACTTGTAGGCCAATTTGTAGGCAGAGGCTGCTCCTTTGTAATCAGCTACCCAGACCCAAAATAATCACACAGAAACTATATTATTTGCAATACTGTTTAGTCAATAGCTTAAACATATTTCTGGCTCACTCTTACATCTTAAGTTAACTCATTTCCATTATTTTATATTTTACCCCAAGACTCGTGGTTTACCAGCAAAGTTAAGGATGTGTCTGTCTCCTGTGTCTCATTTTGTCTCATTGACTCCGCCTTCTCTCTCTCTCTCTCTCTCTCTCTCTCTCTCTCTCTCTCTCTCTCTCTCTCTCCCCCCACAACTGTTTGCTTGGAATTCCCCCCTTGCCCTATTCTGCACTACAATAGGCCCATAGCAGATTCTTTATTAATCAATGGTATTCAAAGCATACAAAGCTGACAAGTTCTGCTTACTGGGGCTGGAACATGGCTCCCTTGTTCAGTTAAATCTTCACCAGCTTTCTTTAACTGCCTAAGCTTAGCTGTCCTGAAACCCAGTGCTGGGATTAAAGGCATGTAACACCACACCCAACAATAAGCTTTTCTTCCTTGTTTTTTTTTCCACAAGTAGGAAATTTAACTTGGTGGAATCTTGCCCTGCGGTAACCACTCCCTTTATTCCATTTCTTAATCCGTTTATCTCCCTGAACATAGAATTTAGCTCCATTCCACTTTCTTGTGCTTTTTTTCTCCTCAAAGTATACTTTTTATCATTTACTGTGCTCAGCTTGCTACTTTTCATTATAAATCTTCATTAGAGTTACCACTAATATCCACACGACAGAGCCTATACTAGGCCATTTTGAGATTTCTTCTGCCAATGAAATTAATCCAAAATTCTTCACATTAACCTCAGGCAGACTCTTTGGACAAGGGCAAAAGGAAGCCACTTTCTTCACCAAAATATCACAAGAACTATTTCTAGGTAACATAATAAAAATCTTCTCTGAAACCTCTTGAGCCCCTAACAGTTTATTAAGCAGTGTTAAAAGCATTCCACTGCTTTCATAACCCAATGTAACAAAGTCCAAATTTCTCCAAATAAACACATGCCCTGGCCTGTCACTGTAATATCCTACTTCTGGTATCAACTTCTGTCTTAGTTAGGCTTCTTTTATTGCTATAAAAAGACATCATAACCATGGCAACACTTACAAAAAAAATTAATTGAGGTGGCAGCCTATGGTTACAGAGGTTAAGTCCATTATCAACACGACAGAGACCATGGCAGTACCCAGGCAGATGTGGTGCTGCCTACATCCTGACCAGAAAGCAGTAGCAAGTCAACTGACTGTCACACTGAGTGAAACTTAAAAAAAGAGACCTCAAAGTCTGCCCTCACAGTGACACACTTCCTCCAACAAGATTGTAATTCTTGATAGTATCACTCCCTCTGGGGGCCATGGTCTTTCAAACCACCAAACAATTGTCAGGTTTTTTTTTCAGTAAAATGCAATTTTGTGTTTTTAAAATGTTAACAAAAGTATTGAGCCTTGTATGCCTTATGGGAATAGAATACAATTGAAGAAGACATCCACAGTCCACTTGATGTTATTCCTCTCTGGTGGATGGAAGCCACCTACAGGCCAACCTGGATCCTCAAGGTTTGGACTGATGGGAAGACATGGTAGACACCATTATAATGTGTGGTGGAGAAATGGGAGAAAAAGAGAATCAGAATGGTTCACATACTGTGGAAAGATGAGGAAAGAAAGAAGTGAAGATGGTGAGGATATAAAATATATGGGGTTGGGAAGCCTGGACACAAACCTTAATTTGCATTAAGTGGCATGCTCCTATCACAAGGTTTCATATGTGGTAGTAGAATCTTATAGCAGAGCTCCTATCCCAAGACTTCTAGCAGGAATCTGTGCCAATGGTCAAGCTAAAAATAAATCAGGCATCTAACTTAGAAACAGCTTTCAAAAAAGGTCAGTCTTCCCAGTCCAGGGACATTCTCCAGATAAGGGCAGGTAGAGAGCAGTAAGTTTCACTGGGGAGGAAAGAATCTCTATGTCATCAAGCTTTTGGAAAAAGCTGTTAGGTCATGATAGAGTACAACCTCTGACCAGTGAGCAAGGCCTTCCAGCATCCAAGGGCCAAGCTGCAACTGGGGTCATGCTGATCTGAGTGGCCTGTGCTGCTACCTGGGGCCATGGTGATATCCAGGCGTGGGATTCTGAACCATGTCTGGGTACACAGTCCTACCACTCACTGCCAGAGTCTGTGATGCAGTGTGTAGCCTGTGTTGCCACCACAGGCCACATGGAAGCCTGGGATCTGGGCTGCAACCTGTGGCCT